TGATCGGAGATACATGTAATTATTGGATACCGTAATAAGTAAGGAGACCACACACAGATAAACTTCGTAATGCTTTGCAGTTCAATGCACCAGTGAATTAGTATTCGTTTTCGCTAACGGTAATGAGTGAATACTTCGTAATACTAGTGCATTTTTATTAGCGGGAGATAGGGAGGGCCATAAAATGCTTGCGCATATTGTCGCATATTTTGTATGTACATGTATATTTTATTTGAATTTGCAAGTACACATGGGCTACACGCCCAATTACATGGAAGCGAATTTGATAATGGGGTTAATTAATTGAAGAAAAGGGTGGAGGAAGGAGGAGGACGGTAGCAAAGCAACAGGGTATTGGTCCCTCAGTTTGAGTAACATGCATGTTTGTACTAATAATAATCTAATAGTAAGGCCCGTGTTCTAGATTGGTCCAGTGCCCACGCATCGATCAACGCGCAAGGGTTAGCCGGTTACCATCATAACCAGGGAGTAGTACAATATGGTATTGTACTACTCCCTGATCATAACCCCCTTCATTTTCTTTGTCTCGACACGTAGATGTACATGTACATGTACAACCCCAACAAATTCTTATTAATCCACAACCACCGGTCATAATCTTTCCAATGCAAAAAAAAACACAGAAAAGAATCCGAAATTTCTGTGTTAAGCGTTCCACTTGTTATCGTAGCTAGGGCTAGCGACGCCCAATCGGCAGTCGCCCACCCTAGCCTAGGCCCTGAACCCTGACTAGGACATCCACGCACGCGCATGGTTTCATTCACCATGATTGACTCACTGAAGTAGGCATACACAAAACAATCATTTACCATTTCGTTAGGAATCCTGATTGACAGCGCTTTCAATCCCTTTGACATACATGTACATGTACATGTACATGTACATGTACATGTACATGATTGTACTACATGTAGTAGTAGTTATCAATGTCAAAGGGCGTGCGTTTTTTCCTGCCCATTGAAAGTACAAAAACAGAAAGTGCAAAGTACAAGCCTACTTTCATTGATGATGACAGACTACACTAGACAAGCTAGCTGTGCTTTTGTACTCCGTGGCTTGTTTTGACAATACAGTCATGTACATTTTTACGATAGGCAGGAGCAAGGAAAGAATCGGTAGCCAGTCATTTTGGTATTACTTCAAATACTTGTATCAATTCGTGGAAGGTCCACAGTGATTAGTCCACTAGTACATGATTGTACTATTAAAGTCCTAATCTTATATTTGACTCTTGTTGTAGTGGTGATTACTTTGCAGTTGCATGTACATGTGCAGTTACACCGACGCCCAGTGTTGCTGCTGTTGTGCACAGCCACACGCACAAACAAAATGGCCGCAAAGAGAAAGCAAACTGAGTGCAATATCCTGATGGTGGCCCCTGGCCGAACATAAAAAAGAAAGAAAGATTGAGATGTAAAACTTTGAAAATCTGCAGTAAAGAGACGACTTTTGTTGGAGATGGTGTAGGGTTCATCGCGTCAACATGGGGGTCCCACTTCACAGCGGCGTCAAGGGTCACGCCGAGGTACCTTGCTGTTGCCTGTTGGGCTCAGGGGAAGCTCTGTCTGGTTGCAGCGGACAGCGACATGCTGACCCGCATTGCGTTGTGGAACAATTGACAGGACCTGGCTCTTCTTGTCATTTAGAAGCAGATGTCGATGCTTGAGCCAGTCAGCGACGTTGGTGACGGCCCCTGACAGGCAGGCTGATGTGGCTAGCACTGATTTTCTGTGGCAGTGCACGGCAATGTCATCGGCAAATTGCAGAGATGGAGCAGGATGGGCTATGGCAGGGACATCACGGGTGTACATGCTAAACAGGATCGGTCCTAGGACCGAGCCCTGAGGTACACCAGATGAGCACTTAGCAGCAACACTGTAGGTGGGGCCAATGCGCACTTGCTGGGTTCGATCGCTTAAGTAGCTGCAGAACCAGCGAAGGGAGGCATTGTCCAGGCCGAGATCGAATAGGTCCCGGACCAGTTGGCTGTGATTGACCTTGTCAAAGGCTTTTGACATGTCGATTAGGCAGACGCCTGTGGTCAACTTGTCGTCCCGAGCCTTTAAGATGGCATCTGTTGCTACAACTAGGGCGTCCTCTGTGGAGTGCTCACGGCGGAAGGCAAACTGAGTCGGTGGTATGGCACATGATCGCTCCAGATGTGCAACAAGTTGCTTCTGGACTATCTTCTCGAGTAGTTTGGATACGATCGGCAGGAGCGACACAGGACGATAATTTGCAGCTACCGATGGATCGCCAGCTTTGAAGAGAGGGCTTATTACAGCATGTTTGAAAGCCAGAGGGACTTCACCATGCCTCAGCGATGAGCTGAAGAGCACTGAAAGCGATGGAGCCAACAGGTCAGCGCAAGCACGTAGCAGACACCCAGGAATCCCATCACTGCCTGTGGCTTTACAGGGATTTATCCGTTCCAGGAGGTGCTTGACCTCATCTGGGGTGGTTGACTGGAAGGTCAGCATTGAGCCTTGCGGCTGTGGACCAATGGGAATCTGGAGCTGCGCCGGACGGGACGGATCATGTACAATGCTGTGGAAGTAGGGCTGAAACGATCGTGGATTTTCACCTATCGATTACTCTTTAGCTTAACGATCGAGTAATCGATTATAATCTTTAGCAAATAGCGTCAGAATTTTGTGCAAAAATTCTCCTGTTACCAAAAGCTAGGCCTTCATAATACCAAAAATCTGCATTAGTGACAGGGTAGCTCCAAACCATGAGAGTTTTGAAGTCAATTTATATGCACCATGCCCCTGGCAACTGCATACACACAGCGGAAACTGATTCAAACTTCACAAAACGAGGGTTTTCAGTACTTTTTGGACTCAAAATCCCTAACGAGTAATCTATAACGTAACGATTACTTGATTGATAAGGAATTATCGATCGCTTACCGAGTAATTGGTATAATCGTTTCAGCCCTATGTGGAAGGCATCCGAGACTTCTGTGATGTCGCACGTTGGCTGATGATGTTGACGAGAACGGCTAGTGACAGAGTTGATCACGGACCACATCATCCGCAGGTTGGAGGAGTGATCACGACACTGCTGTTGGAAATGCTGATTGCGTTTTATTATCACATGAAACCGACGTTCAAATCCTTCTACATGTATATTGTTCCAATGTTGTCGTGGTATGAGTGCGCTCACTATGTTTCTTTCAATATGTAGTGTTAAAACCTTTGTCTTTGAGTTGACGCCCCATCTCCAGGGGAGATGATAAGCTACGGAGTTTGGCAGAATTACTTGAGATGACGCTTCAACTTTAATCGCCACTTCTACTGAACGCTCTCGCAGTGGAAGTCTTTGGAACAGACAACTATTATAACTGACTTAATACATGTACACATGTACTTTAATACTTGGGTGCTGGAAGAGGAGGACGATGCTGCGCTGATGGACCCTACATACAGACACACGCGCGCGTGCACGTACACGTGCCACTAGAAGCGAGAAAGAGTGGTTGTACCAGTTCTTACTAGAATGATACCGCCATACCGGGAGGGCCAGGCCGGGGCGGGCGTCTTCACCATGCGGTCTGGGTCAGTGGCCGACAACGCCATCTGCGCAGTCTGGGCACTAAAAAAAACTCTCCAGAAGTAACTTACTTTCGGGGGAGTTTGGCTCTGTGCTCTGATGAAGTGGTTGGTGTGGTGATAGTCGAGACATGACGCTTTCCCCCGGTCTCCCCTTCACACATCGCGGTCGAGCTGCGCTTGGGCACGGCTGCAGGATGATTGAGGCCTGGCTGGTACGTAGACCTACTGTGTGACTGATGTGTAGTCACTCAGGTCAGGAG